ATCAAACCGTGCCATCAACCTAACCGAAAGCCCCGAATGTGGAGGAACCTCGCATCTGAAGTTGGGCTCCCCATCTTTGTGCATCATCCACGTTCTTGATCATTGGTCTAATTGTTGTACCCTTTCGTGTCAAAAACTCCGGGTGAAATCCTAATGGCCCACTATTCATTCAAATCTATTTGCAATTATTCCTTGCAACTTCAATTTATTTTCATAATTCTTTCCGATTTCGTTTTATTTTGTTTAATTGTATTTTATCATATGTATTTACTTATTGATTAAATTCTTCAGCGACGATCTCTAAGGGAGCCTTACTTTACGTTTCATCAAGGGAGAGCAGCTTGGATAAGCGGTCGTGGGGCACTGCTCGCTATCACTTACAAATGTACGAAGTACACTCTCAACTTTTTGATTCATCCAAGTTACAGAAAAACAGCAGTACATCCGTGGCGCATTCACCATATGAAACAGACTCTTACACATCGACGAAGGGGAGAGGGGGGTTTAAGCAAAAGCAAAAATAAACGCGACCACGTCCCCCTTTTCCAACCTACGTCTTGGCTGCAACATACACAACTCTCTGCTCAACAGCGGTGAAGGAAACCTAGAAACACCATCCAAACTTCAACCTCGGGACTTTTGTAGATCCTCTATCACGAGGTGACAACCTTCATTTCAAAATCATCCTCAGCTTCTTCCCTGTCTCTGCTTAGACCTCTTTGCTAGCTTACAGCGGTAAAACATACATCATGATACATGCTCAAAGACATCCTCTCTACGTAGGTAGATACCTGGTAGCTAAAGCTAAAACTCCATCCGCGTTTTTTTCTCGTCGGCGGCAATTGAGACAATCTTATCGACATCGCGGGGAAATGATCCTCATCTGCTCTACTCATCCTTTAGCATCTAGACTGACCTGACTGGCTCCATGAACATCGACATCAAGGTTTGGGGAAAAATCATATTACAAACTTTCCCATTCAAAATAGACATCCATTTTCATTTCAATAAACCTCCTCATGAACTCCTATCTGAACTCTTCTCCTCTCAATAGATACCTAACCTACCGTAAACCCAATCTTCAATCCCATCCATCTCATCTCATCTCATCTCAACTCACGCGATTATCCCCTCCGAAAAAATCCCAAGCCTGCGTCGATCATCGAATTCGTCCCAATTCATCCATTTCACATCCATTAAATCCCATCCATCCATCCATCTATCCATTCACCAATCCAACCAATCACCCTCTCCACGCAAGCCTAATCCCCCAAACGAGCCAAAGTTCCCACAGCGGAGTCCATCGACCGCTTAAAAGGCCTCTGTAGCCGCCGAGGAAACATCGCCATCATGTACGAAAGCGATCACCCTTACGGAAAACGGTTACCCGAAGCGCCGAATTTTCAGGAACGAACGCGCTGGATCGACCAGGTGTCAGGAGTCAGGTACGGACGGGTCATGATGGAGAACCGGGTATCATCGCTAGGCTGAGTTGAGAATGCGAATTTCATGATTCATGACGTTGATGATGATGATGATGATTATGTGTGGGATAGATGAATGGATAGATAGATAGATAGATAGAGAAAGAAAGAAAGAAGCAAAGAAAAAGGAAAGATGTCTGTTGCAGCCATGATTATAGATAGGTAGGTAGGTACCTAGCTAAGTTTCGATGGGATATACTCCGTAATGCGATATGACATGATGTTGCACGAACCAATGCGGATTTCTGTTACGGTCCGTCCGGTTTCTGTCTATCTACAATATCTACGATATCTATCTACCCGGCGATCCAAGATTGGCAATCTAGATCCATCGGATCGGGGAGATGAAGTTTGAAAGAAAATAACAACGAGATAGACGCTTTGCTAACTCTGAGCGAGGAGAAATTTATCATTTTTCTGCATCTATAGAGATATACCCCGGACTCAATACTCAATACTCATTAGAACTACTTACCACATAGCATACGGCATCAAAACTCCATCCATTTATCTCTCCATGTATCTCTCACCCCGTGACTCAAATTCTAATTAGTAATATGCATCATACAACACCTACAGTCCCTAGCATTCCCAATTTCAGGCACTCACGATATTCCTCCCCGCGGAATATGCCACACCATGTCGGCCAAATCCCAATCCCAATCCCAATCCCATACTCACAACAACCACCTCCTCACCTTAACGCCGACACCCATGAATCAAGTAGGCATCTCATCCATCTCCAACTCCATCACTCCATCACTCTCCCATGCCATCGGGCAACTGATAATGTAGCATTCCATTTCATTCCAACCCCCAACCCCCAACCCCCAATGTCCTGTATCGTACATACTATACCATACCATCACTGATGCCTCGTCCTCAATTCCCCTCACCTAGTTAAGGACTTCATCCAAACAAACAACCACTTACCACACCCCATCCTCAACCATTCATCCACCCATCCAAACATTCAAATCTCTCATCCCAATCAAGCAAAACCCGAGCATTCAAATACAAGTCTCATCATCTGATCCAAGCGTCCCATGCAATACGCATAAACTGGACCAGGCCCATGGAATCCCGAGATATCATTCATCACACCTTCGAAGCGCCTACCTGAAGATCGTTGATTGATTGACTCATCCACCCATCCATTCAAAAGTTTCGCCACTATTAAACTTGACAAATGGATCCCACGAGCAAAGCCTTGTATCACATGTACACAAGCCAATATAAAATAATAACTATCTGTATTCAGGACCCTGTCCTGTCAATTCAAGTATGTTGAGGGGTAAACAATCTCTTTTGGATATTCATCTACGTCTTCCTCATATCGACCTTCGTAGCCTTCTCATACCAAGATGAGCAGGGGCGCCAATCCGTGACTACGAATCTACGGGCAACTGCTAGTACTGTAGCTAGCAACCGCCTCTTATTTCTTCCAGAGTCCAGTAACCCAAATGCCCGCAAGTGTCTGTACCTTAATATGACGCCATTGACTCCCGACGAGCATTGCCATTGAGACCATATCAGCCCATCCCCTCCTCTGTCTTCCGAAATCCTTCGCTTCTTCAACGTCCATCGTCCTTCTCCGCGCCGTTCGTACCACCGGAAGATCCTTGGTCGTTACACCGTATCGCTCTATTCTGCATGTTTTTTATCGTTTGACAATAGTAACTGCATGGTGGATTAGCTCGAAAATCCATGTCATCTTTCTCATCAACGTGTGGAAACTTACTGATATCTTCATCTGCTAATTCGTGACTGAGACCTACACGCTGAGGTTGATGCTTAACTGATTTTCCATAAACAATAGCCACGCGGAATTCGTCCACAATAGTTTTATGAATAGCGTTACACTTTGATCACCACCATTAGTCACTCGATGCTGTGCTACGCGATTCTCAGGATCAGGAAAATAGCCACTTACAAAATCTTCAACTGTGCACCTCGTGGAACGTAACACTACTGGTGCTGTGTAATCAGGCAATTTTCCTTTGGGCTTTGTATAAACTCTGACAAGATTTAGTTTCTCCCACCTGATCAGAAGTTAGTATCAGGTTGTTAGGCAATTTTGGCAACCACAGAAATCTGCTAGCTTCAGGTGAACGCCTTCCATCTTCTCTTTCCTTGAGCGAGTCGATTATAGCTCCAGAACACCGCGCTACTCTATAGAATCATTGAAAGTACCCAAGACAAAAATTCATATGAAAGCTTTCAAATCATAAACTTACATCTGTTCTAACAGTTCATCAACGTTCCACCCATGCTCAGACGAGATGGGACATGCATTAGGAATTCTGTAAAGCAAATCAAGTTCCTCTATCGAAATAGCATCGATTTTGTTCAATGCATAAATGACAGGAATGTAACTTCGTCCCTTGGCCTCTAGTACGTCTATCAGATCGTCGATAGTGGCGTCACAGCGAATGGCGATATCTGCGGATGAAATTTTGTACTCGTTCATTACAGCCTTGATCTCATCGTGATCGATATGCGTCATTGGGACAGTATTGGTGATATTGATTCCGCCCTTGTCCTTCTTCTTAAAAACGATGTTTGGTGGTGACTTGTTGATTCGAATTCCGAATCCTTCCAGTTCGTCTTCAATGATCTTCTTATCCGTCAAGGGCTTATTGACATCCAATACAATGAAGATTAAATGGCATGTCTTGGCAACCGCAATGACTTGTCGACCTCTACCCTTTCCGTCCTTGGCTCCTTGAATAATACCAGGAAGATCCAGAATTTGGATCTTTGCTCCATTGTATAAAATTTGACCAGGTACTGTCGTTAAAGTTGTAAATTCGTATGCGGCAGCCTCTGAATGTTGTCCGGTAAGTTTGCTCATCAATGTACTCTTTCCCACCGATGGAAATCCTATAAATCCAACACTGGCGACACCTGTACGTGCTACATCGAAACCTACACCTGCTCCTCCACCACTCGACGTAGGGGTCAATAACTCTCTCTTGAGTTTAGCGAGCTTTGCTTTAAGTTGACCAAGATGGAAACTTGTCGCCTTGTTCTTTTGGGTTTTGGACATCTATCATTTCGTTAGGATCTATCGACGACGAATTGATCAGGTCCTGGCAGTATACCTCATCCTCAATTTGTTTGATCTGTGGCGGGGTGTTAGCATTGGGAAAAAAGGTCGTGGACGAGAGGGTATACCTTATCAGCGGTGGTCGACATGATTGCGGATTGTTCTGGTCAGATCCAGATATCTTATCTAAAAATATGTTTTGCTGAGGAGGGTTTTTAGCAGAAAGAATACTTTGCGATTTCCCTCAAGCCGGATCTTGAATTTTGGAATTGAAGATGTGAATTACATTGTGGGGTTTCTGCATCAAAAATTATTTCTATGATCGCATAGTTTGAACCTCAGGCACAAATATTCTTCGAATTCCCCAATTGGCAAGGTTTCCAATTCGACTGACGTGCCAATCACTCACCGGGAATCCTTGAAGGTCTGGTCAGAAAATCACTTTATTGCGATTCATCATAAGGATTATGGATCCCCGAACTATCTGTGCAGCCTTCTTCATTTTAGGGACCACAGTTGATCTAGGTGGAACTTTGATACCTTCATTCCGACAGCATTTCATGAACTATGGCAGTCGAGGGTTCACGCCAAATCCTGAGAAAAGCACATCCGCCCAGAGCAAGACTACGCGTCTATTCGAATACGTTGCATCTATACAGGTTCCCCATACTTGGTTCACTCACTATTATATTGTCTCCGTGGCCTCTTCCATTTTCTGGGCGTTTCAAATCATCACACGTGGACCTGCTTTCAGATTGCTTGCATCGTACTCTCAACAAGATGCGACAAAATCAATGACATTTAATCAGGTAACTTTGGCATGGACACTCATGGCTCTACAGGGCAGCCGGAGAGTGTATGAGAGTCTTACGCTCACAAAACCTTCCCAGTCAAAGATGTGGGCTGGGCTTTGGGCTATTGGAATTGCGTATTATTTGTTTATGGGAATTTCGGTTTGGATTGAAGGCATTGGTGAGTGATGTCAATTATAACTCTTGTAATTCTTTCCATTGATGACTAACTACCTAAGCCATACTTGATGCAACTACAAATCCACTAGGTTCGATAGACTTTTCGAAGCCCTCTTTGAAGACTTGTGTGGCAGTACCTCTATTTGTGACTGCATCTGTCTGTCAGCATGACTGCCACAAGCACTTGGCAAGCTTGAAGAAGTATGCTCTTCCCTCAAATGCATTCTTCCGCCACATCGTTTGCCCTCATTACACTAGCGAATGCTTGCTGTATATTGCAATTGCCATTGCAGCCGCGCCTCAGGGACAGTTCTTGAACAGAACCATATTGACAGGGCTGTGCTTTGTAATATCAAACCTTGGAGTGACTGCAGATTCAACAAGGAAATGGTATGCCACAAAGTTTGGTGTAGATAGTGTAGAGGGTAGATGGAGAATGATACCATATTTATACTGAAATACTCTTCTCGGCGTTTGGTGTAGATAGTTGGAAGTAGAAACAGAGGTCGATACTATGTTATAAGATTAGGCCTCAGCGTTTGCCGAATATCCCTAACTTTGAACCTAGTTTCGATACCTTGAGTACGTCCCGATACGTAAGGCTAGTTCGCTCCTTTCTTTCGTATCTACCATCAATAATTTCATCTTTAGACCGTAGAAGATCCCAGTTTGCGACTGTTGTGGTATTTAGGTCAATTTCTGCTTCCGTCTCGGATATTCCATGATAGTAATTTGTATATAGTTCATCTGTTGTGATCAACAAACTCCTTGGCTCCTGGAAAATTCTCCACCTTGGCTGCTCTTCTCTTGTTCCATCATCTTTGTTGCCATAGATATTCAAGCATAAGCTTGCGCCTAAGCTTACAGTGCAGACGACTGGATGATAGGCGGCTCCATCTTTATGTGGCATAATTCCCTGCTTTGGCAGATATTCATTGATTAGGACATGATTCGGACGCTCATGGGGGCTATCACTAAAAATATGACGTGTTCCGGTTTCATGCGAGATAGGTAAGGAGAGGAGTCGAGAGACAACGGGATCTGTTAGCCATTTGGGCAGAGGAGCATCCAATAGAGTATTCTTGGTCAAATCAGAGGGCCATGTCTGAAGACGACGATGAGTTAAATGCTTCCATCGTGGTTTTGGGGCTGTGGCAATCTGTGGGAATCAAAATGTCAAATATCAAATCTCGAATGGGCCCGGAATCGACCTACTTTCTGCAGTAATATTTGTTCTTCCTCCTCCGTGAGAAAATTAGGAATATAAGAAGCTTTTGAAGGGAGGGTCTTGATTCGAGCTTCATCAAGAGATGTTGGTAAGGCTAACTGTGGAATGTCCATTTTGGATAAAAAGGTATCTTTGAGAAGTAGAATTAAACTGTCCTGGGGTGATAATGTGAGAGTATGTGTGAACTTTGAAGGAGAAAAGATCTGGTGAAGAGATGAGTCCAAAAAGAATTTATAAGGGAGGGGAGGATGGTCTGAAAGAATAATATACACAGAAGTATCTTCTCGATGACGAAAGATAGCGAGCGGTCTAGCCTTAGCTAGTGGCCTTGTCGTTAAGCCATCCGCGTTATCTTCACGTGCTCTCCATCTAGAAATCACACTTTGATCACGTGTCGAAGAAACCAAGTCTAGATTTTAGAAAAAAGAGGGCCATTGATGGATTTATTTTATTTTAACTGGCACGACTGGCTCGAGACGGGCAGAATGTAAAGCAATGATAAAGCACTAATAAAGCACTAATAGAAAGGAGCCACGGTGGATAGTAGGTAAAGGCGAATACGGCAGACTTTTTGACATCCCAAGTCCTCGAAGATTTTATCACTCACTTCCAAGTTCCTATCTACTACCTAGACTCTAGGCTCGCTAAGTGTTTTCCATACAAGCACTTTGAGTTTTGGAGAAGTGTTCGTTAGAACTTATTAGGAGTTAGGACTCTCTAGGGAGAGTTCAGGTAGGACCTCGGGATGATCTGATACAAGCTAAGAAAAAAGAAAAGTAGGTCAGTTGATGCGTTGTACTCCTTTGTTTGGATGGAATAATGGCATAGGCATTCGAGTTTTGCGAAGTATAGTTCTTGGTTTTTCTCTACATTGTGCTGGTACTGTACTTTGTAGATTAGATTACGATGATACTGTAGTTTGAATTAGACTTCAGTTAGACCTCAATTAGACCTCAATTATACGTCAGTTAGACTCCTATACTATCAATCTAAGTTCACGTCTACGTTCACCTGTCTGAAGCGAAAAGAACTCCTGTGGCAAAAGACTGTATGATATAAATAGATTGCTATACTCTGCACCGGCAGATTTGTTGACAATGTAATTGCTGTAAGCTTCGTCGTAAGTTCGTATCAGATCATTTTCTCTTTCTCTCATCTGCTGTATGATTCTGGATTTGAGATAGAGACGGTGGGTATGATTAGTTATTTACCTACCTAGTACCTGAAGCATTAAAAGGGGGATTTGGGGAACAAGTGTCAAGTGTATGGCTGGGTCTTTACCATACATACAGCCATACATCCATATGTCCATGCCTAGGTAGGTAGGTAGGTAGGTAGGTAGGCATTCACGAATCGAGTATAGCGACCTATAGGTTTTCTGCTTTGTTTTGCTTTGTTTTGCCTCGAATCTCGTTCCATTGTTGACTTAGGACAACACGTATTGTCCTATGATAGACACGAGAGACTGGATGGACAGAATAGACTGGATAAGACAGGATAAGCTCCTTCATGAAAGTTCCTGATTCAGTGTTTTGTGCTTAGTGCCTGAGTGGGGCTCCGTATTCCGTAGACCGACCTAGTTTAGCGTTTCTCCTGACTAAGCGCAAGTGGAAGTAATTCAATTCTATCTGGTAACTCGATTCCTCCCATTTAACAAAATCACTCCCAAATACTACTTAGCTCCTTGGGTACAATTCTTCTTCAACCAATCCTCAAACCCTACACATATCCGTACACATACTTTCTCACTTACTGTCAATTCAAGATTTTCACGATCCACGATTACATTACGAATTTAATGATATAATCCGTTCACCATTCGGAATTCCAACTTCAACCAACCCAATTTAACTGGCGCATCTAAGTAATATATCTATCAGTTTGAAGGACTCGGATGCTCCTCCTTGTCCCGAAAACCATTCACAATCAAAGTGTCTACTTATAATATAAGCCAGGATGATCCGCAGGATACAGCGAAACATAGTCTAGATGTTATGGGCACTCACAATCATGAGGGAGCAACGGCTACAAAACATGGTGACTCGACCACCAGCCTTGTCGATCGAAAAGACAAAGTCAACAACGCCACGAATATCATCAAAAGCCCGACGCTTTCCGGAAGACAAGAGGCTGTGACTGATTCCGAGACTTCGAGGGATGTGGATATGCCCGATGCACCCCCTGAGGATATTGATGTGAAGAGCGATTCAGAAGCAGAGACAATCGTCTTGGAAGGCAAAAATGGCCACTCACCCTCGAAAATACGAAAATCGATCAAGCACGAGGACAATAGTGATGAGGAAGATATTCGAAAGCCGTCCGAGTCTAGGAAGCGGGAAACTTTATCAATGGAAGCACTTCCTCATAACGAAAATAATCTAGGAAGGCGCAAGCGTCTCAAGATCGACCCTTCTGAGCCAATTAAATCTCAGTCTGGCAATGGAAAATTATCCAATCTACAAAACAAACGGCATTCATCTCTTCCAAAATCTACTGCGCCAGAATTGAGGTCTGACAAATCATCGTCGCCACCATTATCGAATTTAGACAGCGTCGATAAGGCTACACCTGTTGAAAGAGTTTTTCCGCGGAATAAACAGAACCCATCGGACTCAGACGAAGATCATGTCGACCACGATGATCGGAAATTAGAGCGACTTCGAAATTCTGCTTTGATTAATATGCAAAGGAAAGGAAACATTCCTTCACTGAACATCAGCATGGAGAATACTTTAGGTGTCAGGAAGGAACGATCGGAGTCTCCCCACCACGGACGTTCTCACAAACGCGGTCACTCTACTCAGTTTCCCTCGAAGTCGATCCACAATTCAGGCCATCGTAAAGGACGAATACCGCCTCCTCTTCTATCTACCGAGTACCAATCCGATGACTCTTCTGCTAGCGGGCGCTCACACCCTCGTAGCTCTCGGCCTCGGCAACGCACAGCTTCTACCATCAGAGACCTTGCTACGCCTGTCACTGTCCCCCAAAAGAAGAAGAAGCACCTCGATAGTTCGGGTGCAACCATGTTATTCCAATTTGTTCGTAAGAATAATCTCGCAGGAGTGATGGAAGAATTCAACAAGCACCCTGAAGACCTAAATCAAGCAGATAATGCGTTGAATACACCGCTGCATGGCGCAAGTCTTGTAGGCTATGATAAAATTGTCGAATTCCTTTTGAGCAAGGATTGCAATGTTGATGTAGTCAATGACCTTGGCGACACACCACTTCATGATGCCATTGACAATGGTCATGTTGAAGTTGTGAGACTCCTTTTAGAGTACGGTGCTGACCCACGTAAGGCAAAGAAGGCTGGAGGTGACGAGCCTAGTGATCTAGCAGCAGCTTATGTTAGTGTTCCTGAGGACGAGGAGAATACCAGGAAAACGAGGAAAGAGATGCAGCAGCTTATTGAAGATGCCAAGTCTAAGTACCATGAAGATACTGTCCTGAGCGAACAAACGACGGGAGAAAATGCAGAACATGAGTCCTATTCAAGAAATAGTCCTCATCACAGCCCTACCTCTGAGCATCCTGGTACATCGAATGGCCTGCGAGCACGATCGTATAGAACTACACACCGAGATTTATATCGAGATCATAATAATGCTGAAATGCTTCGGGAAGCATGTCGAAACGGCGATCACCCAAATATCTATAATTGGCTAGACGTCAATCAAAAGAAGGGGAAAGATCCAACATCTCTTCTAATCGCGGCAAAAGCTGGCGACAAATTCGCCGTCGACCTACTACTTGGCCTGGGTAATTATGACTGCGATCCTGAGCCTCTAAGAGGTGTAGAATTTCGATGGTCCACGCCAATGCTTTGTGCTATTCATAAAGGCCATATTGACGTGGTTAAGTGCTTGCTTTCAGGAGACTTCGACCCGACTAGGCGCTTGAAAGATAAGACATACTATGAACATGCGCAGGAAAGAGAGAGGGGCAGCCCCAACTATGAGTCAGTCGTTGAAACACTCAAAGATGCTTTCAACACATATTCGAAGCCAGCCAAAACTTCGCCCTCCAAATCTCGCTCCCCCAAACTTCATCGAGACTCTGATCGTGGCCGCGATTCTAGAAGGCCAGTAAGGAACACACGTGATCGATCCTCACCATCGCGGAAGAGGAGTCCTTCAAAATCGATGAGGAATTTAGAAGTAGGATTGTCACGTCGCCCAAGCAGCGACTCCCTTCATCCGAGTCTCGTCACACAGAACCAGACAAGAAGAGGCCCAGGCCGTCCAAGAAAAGAGGAAAGCAACGCTTCGCATCCGACCTCAGACATGGAAAGCACTCCCTTAGGTCCTCCTAAGAAAAAACTGCAAGCTCCGAAAGTTACAGAAGCTGATGCTGCGGCGATGTCTTCTGAAAACGAGCCTCCGAAACCACGACGTAAGCTTGTCTCTGGTAAGGACTTGAGAGGGGAACGGGATAGACAAGGGCGTGGAAGTATTGCATCAAATGTTTCTACTGTATCTGTCCAAGATCGAGACCAGATAGAAGAGTCGAAGAGAAAAGATGGTAAACAGAAAACGACAATCATTGCGCAAACAACCGATCTTGCAAATGAAGACCAGGTCTCAAAACCTTCCATCATCGAGATGGCTTCGGATAAAAGCGAAAAGCACGACAAAGCTAAAGGTATAAAACGAGACAATTCTAAAGACCGACTAGCTTCTATTCGTAATGATAAGAGCCCCATAAAACGACAACGCCAGAGTACAACGCCACCTCACACAGGTACTCTTGATACAATGGTTCCCACAGAGACCGATGGTGCTCCATCTAAGCGCCAGAAAATAGAGGCACTTTCAAAGCATATCATCACAGATCAAAATACATCAAATTTGTGTACTGACCAGCCAGCACCCAATCTTGATGCAACATCTCAAGACAAGTCAGCTTTAAAAACTACCAAGGAGAACACATCAAGATTTTCGTCCAAGCCCATAGGGGAAAATGAGACATGTTTCAACAAAGAGAACGAGGAAGTTCAAGCAGCCAAAAAACCTGAGCTCTCAAACCTGATCGATCTGGAACGCAAGAAGCAGGTAAAACTGGCTCGGGAAGCTCGAGAAGCCAAGCAGCAGGCCAAAGAGGCTCGTGAAGCGAAAGCGGCGGAGGAAGCTCGAGAAGCAAAGGAGAAGGAAGCAAGGGAAGCAAAAGAGACGGAAGCAAGGGAAGCAACAGAGAAAGAAGCAAAGGAGAGGGAAGCACGGGAGAAGGAAGCAAAGGAGGCGAAAGAAGCTCGAGAAGCCGAAGAAGCTCAGGAGAAACTAGCGATCGAGGAAGCTGCTAAGCGAGCACAGGAAGAAGAGGACCGAAAATCACGACATGCTCAGGAAGAACGCGACAAAGCAGAACAAAGGCGAATATACGACGATCAGAAAAGGATAGAACGGGAGAAATTGGAACAAAATCGGGCCGCTGCGCAAGAGCGAGAACGGTCCGAGAAAGCGAGACAGGCGCGAGAAAAGGAAGAACAAAGATTATCAAAACTTCCACTTCTACTTCGAGTGTTTGATCAACTTCCACAAGCTGAGACACTCAAAATTGCTTCTTTGTCCAAATTCCGAATCATACAAGGATATCGATATGATACCATCAGACCAGAAGCAATAGGCAGCCCTAGTGCGCGAGAGCAGTGGATGCTCAACACTGATGTTGCGTTATTGCTGGGAGAGAAGGACCTCGAGTTATCAAGATGTGAGTACAGGGAAGTGAAGAAGTAAAGAATTTGTATTGACTTGCTGTGATAGATACGGCATGGGAACGTATTCCGTTAGAGATGGCTGCCAAGGAAGCTATATGGCCCCGTGCACATGCGAAATATTCTCGTGACCCTTTCAAGACAAATATACTCGTTCCTTCGGATGAACGCGCGCACCTGGCAGAAGATGCTAAGCCTCTGTTCCTTGGGCTCGATCTTTTTTTCGTAAAGGTATGCGTCCTGCATTTCTGAAAATGGTTAGCTTGCTCACATAATTATAGGTATCGGAGTTTATGTATGTGGTACCTAGTTTTCCTCATCTACGAGATAGTCAAATAGCTATCGAATACCAAGAACTTGTCCCCTTAGGCGCCACTCCGGTCAACAGATATGAGCAAGACTCAGATCATGATCCGAGCCAACCATTCTGGCCTGAGCCTCAAATCTACATCAGTGGAACCCTAGCCACACATACCAGAATCGAAACCAAAACAAGCACGAAACCTTTCCCAGAACCCAAAGTATCAAGACGAGAAAATTCAAACGAGAAGGAATTACTTGCATTAGCTTTGGCCAGAACACAAATGCTTTGGGAACAGCGCGAACGTGATGAACATGATGGTATCACCCCACCACACTCCGATCGATCTAGATCGCTCAACGAAGATGGTCTGATTCAAGAATCCATTTCGGGCCCAATTACCATAAGCCAAAACACCGATATTTCAAACGGAACTCTCCCTCTTTCCAACGGAACCGTAATGCACGAAGTAGATATATTGGAATGAGAAATGTTGTCACTGATACAAGAGGTGCACTAACATACATTGCACCGTACTTGTTACATAATCATTGTATAGGAAGTTTATTCCCAGGATGGGGGAGTCTGTAGATATTCTTTTCTGTGAAAAGAAACATCACGCCATATTTTCTTCAGCGACACACAGCACTGTACATATACAGATTCGAATCCCAAACTATCGAGAGACCAGGTGAAGTGGACACCCTTCATACCCGCTCCTAATCCGATTCCAAAATCAATCCCAACCATGCATCCAAATGATGTGAAAACGAAAGGAACGGTTCATACATACGCGCTATGATGTCTTTAGGATAAAGACATCCCCGACTACTCGTTGGAAGGGGGGACTGGGGAGGCAGGAGAGTCAAACACGTTGGCCGGCAAAGACACTTGACGCGTGTGAGGATAAATGTCATGTATAGATAGACAGTAATGGAAAAAGTTACATATCTCCATCTAGATTTTTCTTCTCCATAGAGATTTGGATTATTGCCATCTCAAACTTTCTAGATTGCGAGAGACGAAGTTGTAGAAGAATTCTTGCATACCACCAGATATATGGATTGATCAACAAGTAATTTTGCGCAAACTTTTGATGCGAGGAGATCTCTTGTGATCTAGATATTTGATGGTACTATTACAAGGAGAAAGATACTGTCCATATAGAGATACTCTCCATGAATATACTCCCAAAGACGCACTTGCATCGAAGGATAAGATTAGGCCTTTTCTTTAGCTGCTTGAATTTCTCCGAACTATGTGCTAGGTAGGAGGCATTCATATTCATGCAAACTTTCAATGAAATAATGAAATAATGAAATATTGAGATAGAAGAAGAAACTACTTCATGATGTCGGTAGATCATTATTGTAACTACCTAGATAGGTAGATAGGTAGATAGGTAGATAGATAGATAGATGTTGTAACGAGATTCTGTTGACTTGGCTTGACTTGTTTGAGTAGCTAGATCGCTAGCTGACTGAGTATCGAAAATCGAGAGAATAGACGATGAATAGAGAAGAGAGAATAGATGGTAGATGATGAGTAGAGAATAGATGATAAATATGAAGCGTTGCTGTGTAGATGAGAAAATGAATAGAATAGATAGGTATTAGATAATATAATGTAACTGTGGGAAAACTGGATTAGATTAGACTGATTGTGCTTGAGTAGTTGATTGTGTGGATGGGGAAGGGGCTGCTTCGTGAAACTGTGTATATAGTGGTACTGTGTACATAAACAACTAGATATGTCTAACTGTGAGATGATTGTAGAAGAGGTGAAGTGAAGTGAAAGGTAGGTAGGAAGTTGAAACTTGAAAGTTAGAAGGGTTTCTCTGGACTAGGAGAGATGGATTTGAAAGGGGGGGGGGTGTTAGAGGGACAGTGATAGAAGTAGGTGTAGAAGAGGGGTAGGTGCATAAAGAAAATAGGTAAATAAGAAGAGCAAAGTGAAGACGGTGGGAGGGAAGAATGGATGATGAATGATGAAGATAAAGTTAAAAGCGTAGCAAAAAGGGTGTAAAGATACAGATAACAAGTGTACGATTAGCATTACAGAGGGGTATCTGGTCTACAGAATCCAATGTTTGGATTCCAGCTCTACTTATCCATTGTATGAAAATTCCCAACTGTAGAAGACTGCATGTTCCTTCCACCCCATCCCCCTTCCAGGTGATCGATTTACATTATACTCGTACTTGTCTAGAGAATACCATCATCTCATCATCACCCTATGCCGCTGCCACTTACATTTCAGATTCCATGGGCTGGAATCAACGCCCTATTGCTTGTTGTTTGTAAAGTGTGACGAGGAGTTTTCAGAACCTGGCGAATGATTTTGTAACTGGTGGCTCCTTCTTCGATTCGTGGTAGGCAGGATGAAGGGGAGGATAAGTTTTCGAGTTGATGGCTATTCGAAGCTTATAAGATCGGTAAGGAGCGTAGAAACTACATGGTAAAACTAAAATACTAACAGTCTACTCGATTACATGTTAAACTCACTGATAATAACACATACTCAGTATAGAGATTAACCTTTTTAGCGAATCAACCCCATGTGGATGATTTCTTCTCCTTCCAAAGACACCATTAAACTGCCCATAATCAGAACTCTTTTGAAAGCCTGACAGGCTGATGCGCTCTGCCACCAATTTTGCCAATTGCCGCTCGACCATCAGTTCACACTCAACTACCAATTCGAAGTGAAGTCTTCCCTGTGAATCAGATCCTTAAGTGGCGCCTTTCTCTGGCATTTGCGTCGGTTCAATCATTGGATGAAAAAGAAGACAGCTGCAGGCGACAGTCAAGTACATCGCAAAGCCCCGAGATACGAACGGCCAGAGTATTCGGGATCGCAGTCCAGTTGAGGAAATGCCAGGTACAAAAGTAGCCAATGAGGATGGTCAGCATTTATTAGAGATAAGATAGCAGGACGAAAGTCTTAAGATTCATGATGAACTTTAGGGTATCTAGGAGATTATTTGTGGTATAATAGAGGAATATGAGCAGTTGATGAAGGAGAAAAATCGATTGCGAAGACGCTCAGAAGATATAAAAGCGATGACAGAAACATCAGCCAAAGAGGAGATGACAGAGGATCGACAGTGCGTTCCGCATGTTGCTACTGCATATGTATGATACGGAAAGCAGTAATAGATATAAAGACCTGGGGAGTGATGGGTTTGCGTATGAGATATTGTCGGTTTATCATTGGATATTTTCCGATGACGATAGTTAATCTGAGAAGGCATGGGATAGATCGGAGTGCTGAATCAAAGTATGTGTGTATGCGAACTCCTCTTTTGTAAGATCGTCCAAAGGAAAGCTGTGCTAAGTTCTGGTGGTTGAATGGGGACGCTGAGAGGGCCGCAACAGTTTGAACGTTCAGATGATGGAATGCCAATACTAATTATGGGTATTCTGAGGATTCCGAGGGAGGTAGGAGATAGTCATGATAGACTGGATATTCGACATGTTGTAAAAGTATCAATATCGAGGAGGAGAAATCCAAAATGAAATGATATGATATGATCAGAAAAGTTTTTGATGTTCTATGCAAGTTGCATGTGTAAGAATTGGAGAGGAGGTCGGTAGATGTCAATTGTGCATTCCGATAAGAAAAACATGTAGCGCTACGTCACATGGAGGTCACCCCGCCTTCCGTATGAAGCGAGGGGCAAATAGTCAGCTATCAGTACTATCAGTGGTGGCATCACTCGTACAATAGAATAAATCATAAATCAACCAACAATAGAGCCTTCGTTCATTTGTTTCTCTGTTTACTGAAATCTTTTTTGACACATACTCGATATCATACAGTACAGAAGAATGTCTAAAATGGATCAGGAATCTTGCTGCACTTGTGCGCGTCTACTTGTGCAGATAGAGAGGAATGAAGGGAGGAATGGCTTACCTTCATACTCGGCATCTACGTTGGAAAGAGATTCTTCTCTTCAATTGACGAGAAGGGATTCAAGTTTCAATGAGAAAATAAAAGAAGAAGTTGTCCCCTCAGAGGAGAGCCCGGCATATGGGATGAAAGAGGAAAAAGAAGACACACAATGGAATGAGAAAGAAAGGATAAGTAGCAGAGAAAATAGAAGGCTATCATGTTGCGGACGCATTATCTGCGGGCAATGTGTAGAAGGCAATGAGAGATTTGCAAATTATTGTCCTTTCTGTCAGGTTAGGAGCGCAGAAGCGGTGGATCATACGGTAGCAGCTTCCACGCCGTCGAATAAGCCACCCTCCTACGAATCCCTTCATTCTTCCGAATCGAACGCACGAACTTCTCCCCCTACTTACTCTCACTCTCTCGACTCCAAATCACAAGCCCAAACCCAGTCACAGCCGAAAACCGAAGTACAATCTGAAGACACCCTCCATTTCCTCTCCCACGCCACCGATTCCATGACGTCTCTATCCTTTCGCTACGGTGTACCAATTGATGCATTGCGAAAGAAAAATGGTATAACAAGTGATCACCTCCTTCTTGCTAGGAAAACGATATTGATACCTGGGGAATGGTATAAAGGGGGAGTGAGTTTGAGTCCGCGGCCTGTGGAGTGGGAGGAAGAAGAAAGGAGGAAGAGCTGCGTGAGGAGATTCATGGTTGGGTGTAAAGTTTCTGAGTGAGTTTGTGTTTTATAATTTGCGGAATGGGCAATGAGAAACAGAGAAGGGCTACCTGTATAGTTCGAAGGGATACAAGATTCAAACCCTCTCGAGTGTAGGAGTTTCAAAAGAAAGGCCGATAACACTAGAGGGATCAAAGGCTAACATTTAATTTCCCGTTAGATACGACATTGCAGTTCTATATCTTGAACAAGCGAACTACGACCTAGAGCTCGCAATGGGAATATACAAAGACGATGAGAGGTGGGAGAGAGAAAATCCTATATCGAATAAAGGGAAAGGAAAAGGGAAGTCGAGATATGATGTTGCGAAGAGAAGATTCACAGGACAGAGATCATAAGATTTTCGCCCGCACATTGCTGTATAATTGCGTGTTTTAGATTCCTCTTTATTTTTGTAATTTAACATAACATCATGAGATGGATGGAGTTCATGATACAGTGCACATCAAACACCTTATAAAATATACAGCGCCGTCTGGTGCGAGCACCCTGTCCCAAATTACGCCCAATTAATATGCCGATCGTGTCCGAATATCCTAGAACTGTTGTTAGCCTTGCAATGTCCATAAAAGATGGATAGGGGCAATTACCGAAATTTTTCTCTCAATCTCCCTAACCGAGCGGTCCAACTCTCCTGCAATCATTTGTTTCTTGTCCGTTGGCAAGAGGGTATATCTTTCGCATAAATCTCCATCAATGACGCCCTTTACTGGCACATAATAACTTCGGTATATTAAGTGATCTCTTCCAGCCAGAGGCGGGTCTTCTGATCTTAGGTGTTGTTCTAATGTCTGGAAGAAATCTACATCTTCTCGACTGACGAATGGTATTAGGATACCAAGTGTGCCTTGAAGTCCGCTCCACAACAAGCAATCTCTACCTCCGGCAACGAGGTTTGTCTTTTGAATGCTCATTGGAATATCTTGGGAAAAGTTATGAGCCATCAATGTTAATCGATGAGGAGCTCCAGCCAGGTATTGACGTTCGTGTAGAAGATGAGCACCAGAGCCTTCTTCATCCGCTTCTTCACTGGCTTTAGCGGGACAACGGAGAAGCCAAAGGTTACCGAATTTATCCCCTCCTGCGACAGTCTCGTAATCTACCATTGTAGTGCACGATGTCCACCTTGCGATGGTATCATCCACGAATGGAATGAGTCTGTTCTCTTGAAATTTGTACACGACCATAGTGATACTCTCTTGGACATCACTGACAATGATACGACTGCCTTGAGTTTGTAAACCAACAATCATGTTAGGCGCAACTTCAGATTGTGCTTTTCGTAAGAGTTGTCGCATTCCGAGGTCGTAAATACGTAGATCTTTTCCCACTCCAGCTAATAGTCTACCTTGGAAAGCAAGTAATGCCATAGGTGGTTCCTCGACTTTCGTTTTGTGTATGAATTCGAGCTCTTTACCGTCTTCATGGAAGCGGTACACGTGAATGAAACCTGCAGAGAATGATCTTGGACTAACAACCAAATCCTTACCTGTTCCGACACATAAGAACGTTTCATCTTCTTGACTAGCGAAAGCGACAACAGCGATGCTGACTGCACATTCATTTTCCTCTAGGTGAATTGTAGACAGAACTTTTTTTTCGGTCACAGGATCGACGACAGAGATGCAAGACGCCCAGTGGTTTGTTCCTCTCGGGTAACCAAACTCCTCAGGAGGAAGTACTGTGGCATCACCGTTTGTAACAGAAGGATCCTCAAGTAGCTTCTGCTTTGTGGCTGGAGAAAGTATGTTATTGTCCGCTTCAATTACATAGAAACAAGGGTGTTCGGGATGTCGGACGAAACGACGAGGAGTATAAGTCAGAGGAATGGATTCTTGCAAAAGGTTGTCGGTGAGTTTCTCGATAGAAAAGATTCTATGGTGAATTAGCCATTGCTCCAACTTGAGTGCAAGGGTTTGAATGATTGAGTTGGATTAGATATTTCAGAAGGAACAATTGGAATTATAATGTTACATCCTCATAGTCATGGAAGACTTAAGAAGTTTAACGATAAGAAAATCATCATAGTATATGGTGCTTTTAGGATTATTAAAACTGTATTAACGTACCTTAAATTTTGCCCTTGGATTCCCACCATACCTTCAGTACACTGCTCGCTACTGAAATTCCAGCCCCACTCCAAAGCTGGATAGTCAAGTGGGGTGAGCATAAAGCCTTTGGTGACGGGATCTGAATATCCGAGCCATGGCCTAGAACTGAGCGCAAGCACTGCAGTCTGACCTTGGACGGCTACTCTGAAAAGCTTGACGGGCTTCGGTCCAAGGAAACGTGTTCGTGTGTCAGAGAGCTCTCCAGTCACTTCATCTAAAACAGTTCGTAGATAGACGCCAGAATAAAGTCCGATGTGAAGGTATAGAGTTGAGCCGCCAGATGATGAGTCTGACATAGCCATAATGGAAAGGGCATTTGGAGGAGAAGTCAAAGCTTGAACCGATTTGTTCTCAAGTGTTGATTCGGGATCCAAACTCAGAATACGTACTGTTGAGTCATCACAGCCAACAGCCAAGAATTGACTTCTTTGACGTCCTTCTGGAACTTCACCGAGACTCAAGCAGGTAACTGTACCGCTCATCTCTTTCTTTTCGTCGTATTCAGCGAGAGATCCATCTGAATCCATCTCAAAATAGACAATCTCTCCAGAACTTAGAGCTACAGCAACTTGTCGTTCGTTTGTAGTGGCTGCAACAATAGAACGATGCTGAGGAGCAGCCCACTCATTCACGCGACGATCCGCGCGAATATGTCGAATACCTTTAGGATGCACCTGAATTAGAGAATCCTCGCCAAGTTGCTGTACAGCTAGTGTTGGTGCCGATGACAAAAACCCAGTATCAGTTACTTCTTCCACAGTTTCACCGATGCTGAGAACCAAGGTACCGTTTGAAAAAGAGAGAATGATGTAAGCATCATAGGTATCACCTCTAGTAAGCTTTGTCGTCCAGACTGCAGATGGTACACCGGGCAGTTCAGATTCGACGATTTCACTTACTTCTAAGCCATGTTTCAGGGTTCTGAAAGTACTTCGAGCGCCGGTACCACAAATTGAATAGATCTGTGGTGCATCCTCGTCAGTGAGATTGGCGACTTTGCAGTCCATCAAAGGATTCATCGAGTCGATACTTTCGACTAAGCTTAGATTCTCAGCTGGTCGAGGATGAAAATAGATGGGCGTGTATGATTCATGAGCTCCAGTTGGGAAATCATCGCTGATAAATTCTGTTTCTTCATCGTCATCGCCAAGCTTCTCAAATTGGTAGAACTGATGGTTGCCAAACTCGCTTGCAACAAAAAGAAATCCACTTTTAAGGATACAGAGACTCGCCGCGACAGGCACGGTGTCAAAGTACTTAATCTTGAGACGTCTGACTTCGCCGGTTGGTTGCCCATTGTCGTCTTCAACCATCTCAATGGTTATTTTGAAAAGATCACCATCATCGGTTTGTAGTAAGAAGAAGAAAGCTCCCGCAGCACCCTTGAGTTTATGCATAACTCCTGCTACAATGTTTCGTTTTCTTTGTGGATCTTCCGTTGCACCACGGCGGCGAGGGATAGCAACACGGAAAGCTTCTTGATTAGAGTGCCTGTAGGTGATATTATCCTCCCCACAAACTAAAACACCACTAGGTCCATCCGTTCCTCCAGGCACCTGGAAAAGGATGTTCGCCGTTCGATCGACAGGCTCCGACCATTTTCGCACCACATGATTCAAGCCCAGGTCAAGCTCGTAGTAGACAAGCTGTTTCTCAATCTCGTCATAAGCTTGCCCTGTGGGATCCTGATCCGACTCGCCATAATCAACCTCGAGAGCCGCAAACACCGGATTTGCGTATCCCACATCCAATGCTACCAATGCGAACACCAAAGTTTGTGCTTTATGGGCTTCCAAGGGGGATGAGATGGTAAGTTCCGCCTGAGAATTGCGATTCAAGACATATACAAGCTTGTTCTTCTCCACCGATGCAGTTAAACAAGCTCTGCCTTTCGGGTCCACAGCCAAGTATTGCCCTGGAACCACTCTTCGAACGCCCGACTTGCCGAAAGTCTCGAGATGTAGGCGATTGAATTTATTTTGTGCGGGGACGAACTCGACGATTGTTATACGACCAGAGTCGGATGTGATGATAATATAATCTGCGATTGTTTATTTTAGCTTAGCTCTCAATTGCGACCGAGTTTCTATAACACTCGTCCCCATAGGCTATTCATATCGGTATGATTCGTGCTGCCATCGATGCTTCAAATCACTAAGTGAAGCTCAAGTGGGATAAGATGAATGACTTACCCTTATTGCTACCGGCTAATCTGAAAGCTGCAATAGCTCTTATGATACCAAAAACATCGTGTGAGAGTGCTGTAATAATCTTTCCCTGCGACGGATCTGGTCTATGGAGAGTGAGACGCGAACCAGAGGCAGTCACAATCTGTTGCTCTTTCGTGCCAGCAAATTGTCCGAGTATTGCTTGGGTGATGGCGGTGGGAGGATTGATGGTCAAGCTGTACAAGAATTGGTTTGATGTGGTAGCCATATTTGGGCAGCAGCGCAGAAAGTCTGCGCAGCTTCAGGTAAGATTATTCACTTTGCGCGAAAATTTAAAGATGGTATCATTTGTAAGGGCTCGACAAGTAGCTTGTCGCAAAGCTTTGGGTGTTCGAGGTTGTTTTCTTGAATCTACAAATATTCACGAGCTAAAAGAATCCATGCCGCTTTAATAAATAATACGCGACCACTCATCATAGAAATCACCTCATGTATCAAATTTCTTATACACAGCTTGTATAGCACTTTTACTTCTTCAATCTTTTTTGAGAAGCTTGACGGTGCTTGAAATCATGCGTCCTTCAACTTCATATACTTGCCGGCAGTGCTTACATGCGCTCAGAAAAACGCCTAGGTCAATCGGCTTGGGTAATAGAACCATTGCTTCTGGTAATGGTAGAAGCACCAAGCTCCCTTCGAATTTGCCATCCGGGAATCAATTGGCGCAAAAAGACTTGGGCCGTCGAGCAATATCATTTGGGCAAGGGCAGGTAGCAAGAAATGAGCCTCCGCAATATAGAACTCCAAGTGGCTTGGAATCGACCCCGCCTCCAGAGGTTGAAGGACGAGCTCTCTTGAAGCCGAACAACCTCTTCCACTCGTTCTCGAATTCGCCATCCCCCGAAATTAGAAGACGAGCAGCTTTCATGAAACAAAATGCCTATTGCCCACATCCGGATCATCACCAGACTCGATTGCCAACAAATCCAGACGATCCCGAAGCACGGAAATCTGCTACAGGTGCGCTACCACCAGCCCACGTCGATTTCGAATGTCCAGATTGCGGAATACCTGTGTCATGCTCAGAAGAGCATTGGGCTGATG